CCCAGGACCAGGAGGGAAAGGCCACGCCTGCTGGACAGGTGTGCTCCAGGGTCACCAGGAGGGCCTCGGCCAACGGGCGCCCTTCTGAGCTAGGGAATTTGCCTGTACAGTGACTCCTCAGCAGCTCAGACCCTGTGGCACAGTACCGGGCACCAGGTAACTATGTGCGAGCACGTATAGGGCCCAGCTCTGCTCCAACTCAGTTCAGGTCAACAGTGTTCCTGCACAGTCACCCCAAAAGCCCCATTTCCAGAACCCAAGAACCTGGCCTTGGACTGGGAATGAGCACAGGCGAAGGAGAAAGAAGATAAAGTAATTCTCCACCATGAGGCCTGCTGGCGTGGACCCCACGGCCCCTGTGGGCTCCTCAGCACTGGACGTTCCCTCTCGTGGAAGGACGACAGTGGGCTGGCCAGGGACATTCTCAGCACCTTGTCCAGGTGCTGAGTGAGAGCACCTCACTGCCGTAAACCCGCTTCACCTGGAACAATAAAGCCTGGGAGGCTAGGAGGAACGTTCAGGGATTCACACAAACGACTTCAGAGCTGCAAGGGCCCTGGGGAGGGGAAAGAAGGCAAGCACCCCTCACTGAGTCTGAAGGTGAGAGAAGTGGCCCAGAGCCCCCAGAGTCCAGGCAGGGAATGGCCCTGCCTCCAGAGGGCCTGCAGGGACTCCCAGCTAGAGAGAATCCTACGGAGGATGCACCACTGAGGGGGGAGGACCCACCCCTGCGGGGGGAGGACCCGGCCCCGCGGGAGGACTCACCGCGGGATCCGGCACGCAGCAGGAGAACGGCACCCCGCACTTCTCACGGCTGTAGCTGGGGCCGCTGCAGTTGAAGTAGGCATTGAGGTCCCAGTCTTCCGGGCCGTAGGCACCACAGCACTGGTTCTGCCATCAGCAAACCCAGGAACCATCAGCGGCACAGAGCAGCGTGGGCCCTGTGCTGCCTGTCAGTCTAGGTGCCCCACCCACACGAAGAAAGCCAGGCCTCCCCACGGCCCTCCACATTCAAGAGGTGCTCGGTGCAGCGACCCAGGCACCCTGAGAAGAAGAGAAGGGCTGCCCACGCGGTGGTGGGGGTCCCCAAGCTGCAGTGACCGAGAACCTTCTCGACCAGTGTGCAGTCAGCACCAGTCCCCTCCTGCCCACTAGCACAGAGATGACCTGTCTGTCCTTTGAGGCCCCTCTGCACCTCCAGTGTGGTCCTCGACTGCCCCCAGGAGGACCAGCCTCCTCTCGGGTGTCACGTGTCTTCTCTGAGACCCTTCTTGACGCTTTACAAAATAAAGTCCCCATTTGTCTAAGACAACTGTAAAAGCAAAGGATCACTGGCAGCTGCCCTTAAAGCTGACGTAGCTACAGCATCATCACAACACACAACCCAGACTTCTGTTTTTGTTTTTTACCTCCGAGTTCCACTTCCTCTTAATGATGACCTAGTATTTCACCAAGCAGCAGCTCCACAATTCAATACCTCTGGGAAAACGTATTTTTCAGAAGAAAGGAAAGCACTAGAGAAACCACAAGGCCCTTTAGGCCAGTCCAGGCAAGAGCCACCCCAGCCTGCCGTGCAGCCAGCAAGCCAACGACGTGAAAAAAGGAAGACACCATGGTGCTGAGCACAGCAGGAGGGGCGTGAGGGACCCGCTGGGGCCTCACAGACAGCCCAGGTCAACAACAC